TACCCGGTTCAACTAAAGTTGGAGAAACTAACACCCGCCAGCCACCTATGTGCAAAGCACGTCGGTGGAACCAGTCTCGCGTAAGCGTACGCGTAATGTCGGTCCGGGCCGCTTCATCCAACAATACCGCCGAACCAAAGTATGACTTGTATCACCCACAACTCACTTGTGTTCTACTCGTGCATATAACATCTACGCATAAAACCTGGCTCGGATGCCACTGTTGGGGAACATAGTAATTTCAAAAATTTCCTACGCACACACAAGATCATGGTGATGCATAGCAACAAGAGGGGAGAATGTTGTCCATGTACCCTCGTAGACCGAATGCAGAAGCGTTAGCACAACGCGTTTGATATAGTCGTACGTCTTCATGATCCGATCGATCCAAGTATTGAACGTACGACACCTGCGAGTTCTGCACACGTTCAGCTCGATGACGTCCCGCGAACTCCGATCCAGCAGAGCTTCATGGGAGAGTTCCGTCAGCACGACGGCGTGGTGAAGGTTATGATGTTTCTACCGACGCAGGGCTTCACCTAAGCAGCGCTACGATATGACGAGGTGGAATATGGTGGAGGGGAGCACCGCACACGACTGGAATAGATCAGTAAATCAACTTGTGTGTCTTGGGGTTCCCCCTGCCCTCGTATATAAAGGAGCAAGGGAGGAGGAGGCCGGCCCTAGGAGGGGCGCGCCAAGGGAGTAGGATTCCTACTCCTAGTAGGAGTAGGTTTCCTCCTTCCCTAGTCCAACTAGGAGAAGGGGGGAAAGGAGGGGAGTGGAGAAGGAAGGGAGAGGGGGCCGCGCCCCAAACCCCTTGTCCAATTCAGACTGGGCTTGGGAGGGGCGCGCGCCACCTCCTGGCTGCTGCCTCTCCTTCCCACTAAGGCCCATTAAGGTCCAATACTTCTTTCCCGTATTCCCGTAACTCCCCGGTACTCCAAAAAATACCCGAATCACTCGGAACCTTTCCGATGTCCGAATATAGTCGTCCAATATATCGATCTTTACATCTCGACCATTTCGAGACTCCTCATCATGTCTCCGATCTCATACGGGACTCCGAACTACCTTCGGTACATCAAATCACATAAACTCATAATACCGATCGTCACCGAACGTTAAGCGTGCGGACCCTACGGGTTCGAGAACTATGTAGACATGACCGAGACACGTCTCCGGTCAATAACCAATAGCGGAACCTTGATGCTCATATTGTCTCCCACATATTCTATGAAGATCTTTATCAGTCAAACCACATAACAACATACGTTGTTCCCTTTGTCATCGGTATGTTACTTGCCTGAGATTCGATCGTCAGTATCTCAATACCTAGTTCAATCTCATTACCGGCAAGTCTCTTTACTCGTTCCGTAATACATCATCCCATAACTAAATCGTTAGTTACAATGCTTGCAAGGCTTATAGTGATGTGCATTACCGAGTGGGCCTAGAGATACCTCTCCGACAATCGTAGTGACAAATCCTAATCTCAAAATACGCCAACTCAACAAGTACCTTTGGAGACACCTGTAGAGCACCTTTATAATCACCCAGTTACGTTGAGATGTTTGGTAGCACACAAAGTGTTCCTCCGATAAACGGGAGTTGCATAATCTCATAGTCATAGGAACATGTATAAGTCATGAAGAAAGCAATAGCAACATACTAAACAATCAAGTGCTAAGCTAACGGAATGGGTCAAGTCAATCACATAATTATCCTAATGATGTGATCCCGTTAATCAAATGACAACTCTTGTCTATGGCTAGGAAACATAACCATCTTTGATCAACGAGCTAGTCAAGTAGAGGCATACTAGTGACACTTTGTTTGTCTATGTATTCACACATGTACTAAGTTTCCGATTAATACAATTCTAGCATGAATAATAAACATTTATCATGATATAAGGAAATATAAATAACAACTTTATTATTGCCTCTAGGGCATATTTCCTTCAGGTGGCCCACATGGAGCCCTACCAAGTCTTGCATTACAAGCTTAAGAAGACCGCGCTTCGCCTCATGGAGTGGAGCAAGTCCCTCTTGTCCAAGGCTAAGGTCCAGCTCCATGCGGCCCTTTTGGCGATTCTACGCCTCGACACTGCCCAAGAAGAGAGGCTCCTTTCTCCTGAGGAGCGTGACCTTTGCTCTAGGCTCAAGAGGAGGGTCATTAGTCTTGCGGTGTTGGACAGGGCTAGGAAAAGCCAATGCGCCAGAATCGCAAATCTGAAGGACGGCGATGCCAACACCAAATTCTTCCACCGCCGCATCAACGCTACAAGACGGAAAAACCACATCCATCTGATTAAGCACGGGCAGGGCTGGGTTACTGACCACAAGGAAAAAGAGGAGATCATCCAGGAGCACTTTTCCGAGGTCATGGGTAGAGGAAATACGAGTACCATGGATTTTAACTGGGAGGATCTTGGCACCGAGCACCGTACCTTGCAAGGCATCGACGATCCAATCACCGAGGATGAGGTACTCCAGGCCATCAAGGAGTTGCCCGGTGATAAAGCGCCTGGCCCGGACGGCTTCACGGACATCTTCTTCAAGAAGTGTTGGGATGTCATAAAGGATGATGTCACGAGGGTCATCCAACGCTTTGATTCCTTAAACACCTCAAATCTGCAATGGCTTAACTACGCCAATGTCGTTCTTTTGCCTAAGAAGGATGGGGCGGAAGGTATCTCCGACTACAGGCCCATTAGCCTCATCCATGCCGTTGCCAAGATCATGGCCAAGATCCTTTCTTTGAGGTTTGCTCCCCATATGGGCGACCTCATATCCAACGCTCAAAGTGCATTCATAAAACGAAGAAGCATCCATGACAACTTCATGTACGTTCGGAGTTTTGCTAGACGCTTACACAAGAGCAAGACCCCCGCCCTCCTATTCAAGCTTGACATAAAGAAGGCTTTTGACTCGGTCAAGTGGGAATACATCCTTGATCTCCTTCAACGCTTGGGGTTCCCTGCCAAGTTTAGGGATTGCATTGCCGCTCTTTTATCCTCATCATCTTCGCGGATCTTCCTCAATGGGATTCCAGGCTCTCCCATCAAGCATGGTCGCGGCTTTCGTCAAGGGGACCCCATCTCGCCACTTCTGTCTGCCCTCGCAATCAACCCTCTTCACCAAATCCTAGATTTGGCAACCCGGAAAGGATTGCTCCGCAAGATACGTGGCCGTGGGGCTATGGTGAGGACATCGCTTTACGCGGATGATGCGGCTGTTTTTGTGGCTCCTATCAAGACGGATATCGACAACCTTGCCTCCATCTTGGAGGGCTTTGGCGAGGTGACGGGCCTATGCACTAACTTCCAAAAAAGCTCGGTCGTGCCGATACGTTGCAATCACCTTAACCTCGAGCACATTCTTGAAGGTGTTCTGACAGCTCGGTCCTGCTTCCCCATGAAACACTTGGGACTACCGCTCTCGGTGTGGCAACTCAAGAAGGTGGACTTTCAATATCTTGCGGACAAGGCTGCCGGAAAACTAGTGACTTGGGAGGGGGAAAATATCACTACAATCAAGCGCACGGCCCTAGTCAAGTCGGTCATCTCCTCCCAAGTGGTGTACTCCATCACGCCTCTTATCGTACCACTGAGCTCCCTAAATAGTGTGAACAAGATAGAGAGGGCCTTCCTTTGGTCTGGATCAGATAAGACTACTGGTACCAAGTGCAAGGTGAATTGGGAGACAGTGTGCCGGCCAAAGGAGTATGGTGGTCTTGGCGTGCTGAACACTGACAAATTTGCGCGTGCTTTGCGCCTGCAGTCGCTTTGGTATGAATGGAAGGAACCTCAAAAACTTTTGGTGGGGCTTGGCAACCCTTGCACCAAGGATGACCGGGAATTTTTCTATGCCTCCACTACTATCACCGTCGGCAATGGCGCCCGAACTCCATTTTTGGGAATCCCCTTGGCTTCTGGGGCGCAAACCAATGGACATCGCACCGCTCATCTTCGAGGCCTCGAGGAGAAAAAATTGGAAGGTGCGTGAGGCCCTAAACGAGAGCGCATGGATTCTGTCAATCAACAACAACACTGTCGTTTCCGGTGACCACATCCGGGAATTCTTCACACTTTGGATGCTCATTAATGACTTCCACCTCGACGACCACCTTGAAGATGATATTGTCTGGAAGCACGCGAATGATGGATTCTACTCGGCATCCACCGCATATAAAGCTCAGTTCCTTGGCATGTCGCTTTCCCCTATGGATCAAATGGTCTGAAAAGTTTGGGCACCACCAAAAGTAAAAAAATTCGCTTGGTTGGCTATCCAAAATAAGATTTGGACTGTCGATCGGTTGGCGAAACGTGGTTGGCCAAATTGTGGCATGTGCCAACTTTGCAAAAGAGAACAAGAATCGGGCGCGCATCTTCTTTTCAAGTGTCGCTACACGCTCAGGCTATGGATGTTAGTCATTAAGAAGCTTGGACTTGCTCACATGGACACAACCAATTAGCATCTTGCGGACTCCGTCAACGAGTGGTGGGACAAGCGAACCAACAATCAAAACCCCAATAGACATGCTATGGCCTCTCTTACCATGCTCGGTCTCTTGGACAATATAGAATGAACGAAATGCTAGGGTGTTCCGCTACAAATGTGTGCCACCACCCGTTCTCTTTCACACCATTTTAGAGGAGGCGAAGCTTTGGATCACCGCGGGCGCTAAGAAATTGGGGCATATTATGTTGCGTGAGTAGCTGTCATGCCGTGTGTGGGTTTCTTGTAACACTCTAAACTCTATTCTCTCCTTATTTAATTGATGAGGCAAATCTATTGCCTCCGTTTTAAAAAAAACTATCCAGCAAACCACGGCATCGACTGTGATGATTAAAGAGATAGTGCTAGGCGCCAAAAAAATTACAATGTCTCTTAATTTTCTCTACCTACAGAAACCTTCAGCTCTAGCTATTTTTCCTTTCTTGCTCGTCACATGAAAGATCTGGAAATTACATGAAAAATTGCCTTATTGCTCTGTCAACACCTGGGCATATTTGGAGGCGGTGGCATGATCTTGGCATTTGGTCCCTTGCCGTTCTTCACAATGAACACCGTCTCCATCCCCCACACCATGTGGCGCTCGAAATGACAGTGCATGAACCATACGCCTGCCAACCAAACCAAGACACAACAAGGTATAAGATGTACGTACGTACATTTGAATCATACCCTGTATACAAAAGCCTTTATAGATAGTCTCAAGTGGATCAGGAAGAAAGGTTTGAGCACTCACCAGGGTTTTCTGCACGGAGGCGGATTGCGACCCATCCGTTCTTGGGCACGGAGACGGTGTTCTGGTACGGCGGGTCGACCAGGTTGTACTTGGCCGGGTCCGTGCGCTTGTCGAAGTTGCCAGTCCCTCTCCCCACCATGTAGAAGCTGAACCCGTGCAGGTGCATGGGATGGCTGTCGCCGCCGAGGATGGTCGTGCCCTGCAGCACCACCTCCAGGACGGCGCCGTACTCCAGGACCTTCACCCTCGTGCCTCTCGCGGTCAGCGCGAGCTCCGGGGGCAGGTCGTCGGCCGTGAAGTTGAAGGGCGACAGCGGGTTGTCGGGGAAGTCGGTCCTGGCCACGCCGCCGACGGCGGAGCGGTAGTAGGCCCCGAGCACGTCGCTCCGCGGCATCTCGAAGCTCACGTTGTTGAGGCTCGACGCGAAGCGGTTGCCGTGGGGCCCCTTGCACACCTCGCCGGGCGCGCACGCGATCTCGTTCACCTCCACCGTGACGAGCATGTGCTCGTCGACGCGCCGGGGCACGTCGGCCGGGTGCCCCTTGCTGGCCAGCGACCTGAGCCGCGCCGTGAACGCGGCCGCCGCGGAGCTGTCGTTGATGGCGGGAAGGCTGGGGAGACCATGCGCCGCATCGCCCGGCGCCGCGGGAGCGTCGACGTACTCCAGGACGGCGGTGGCCGTGCTGCTGTCGACGGTGGCCTGCGGGTTGGTCGCCAGCGGCCTCGACGCCATGTAGAAGTGCCGGGCGTTTGAGCGGCCACGGCGGGCCTTGAGCAGCGCGGTCACCGTTTGGCCGGCGTCGATGAATACGTGGTCGGCGCTGAACGGCTTGGTGTAGGAAGCGTCGGAGCCGACCACGGTGAGGCGGTGCCCGGCGACGGCGAAGAAGAATCCGTTGGTGAGGGCCGCGTTGATGATCCGGATCATGTAGGTCTTGCCGTGCTTGACTGGCAGCCTAAAGGTGCCGTCGCCGGAGCAAGCGAACAGGTCACCCGGCTGACCGTTGATGGTGTTCGCGTCTGAAGACTGGAAGTCGCTGCCGGTGGAGATGGCGTCGGCGAGCACTTGCCCGATGTCGTCGTTCCACCATTCCCCTGCCATGGAGATAAACATGTCCACATACCATCAGTGGAAACCACTACCACGCATTGCAGAAGCAGGCGCACAGAGCTAGCTATACGTACCGAGGATGATGGGTATCTCTCTGTGCGGTTTGCTGAATGGGTAGGTCGTGCCGCGCCGGGGGCGTATGACGATGGCGCCATGCACGGTGTCGCGATCCATGGCGGTGTGCGCGTGCCACCACAGCGTGCCTTCCTCCTCGGAGAAGATGATCCGGTAGCTGAAGTTGCCGCCGGGCTGGATCGGGCACTGCGTTATGTACTCCGGCCCGTCCCACCACGGACTTCGCGGCTGGTTCACCCCGTGCCTACAGCGTCAACAAGAGTAGGAGTTCATCTATGCCGCCGATCGGAAGAAACAAAACAAAGACAAAAATACAGCAAGAATCATTTCGCGCAGTAGTATTAGAAATTGTACCAGTGGAGGGTGATGTTCTTATGGCCCTGGTTGAAGACGTTGACAACGACGACGTCGCCCTTCCTCGCGTAGATGGTCGGGCCGGGGAACTCGCCGTTGACGGTGAGGATGGTCTTTTCACGGCAGAGCCTCGTGTAGTTGCTCTCCTTTATCTACAGCCAAATGTCATGCATACATGCAGGAAAAACTACGATTCAGCAAAGGTTTTTCAATCAATTAAGATGAGGAAAAATTTATCTGAGAAACCTGCAGCTGATGCTAAATAAAATTGCGGGATTGCTAATTTTCATCCGGATGAAAATAATTCGCTTTCATCCGTTTTTCCGTCCGTCCGATTCTTGTGTCAAGATTCACGTTTTTCCTTTTCTTTTTTCAGCCTCGGGGGTATTTTATTCGTTACCGGGCCTGCAACCCCCTGGAGACCCGTTAATCCTGGCGGGTCCATGTGCTAACCGGTTTTTTATTTTATTTTGAATTTCCTTTTATCTCCTCCGCTGACTTTGTCCGTTTCCCTTCCCCATTTCGAGCAGCGAGATCTTGGAGGCAGAGAGGGGAGAGCCATGGCGATTTTGGCTGGTTAGCTTTGTCGTTGATCTCTGGAGAGCGAGCCGGTGGTTAGGCGTCCGGTCCTCCTCCCCCCTCCCCCTGTTGCTTCTCCTTCAAGCGCGTTGAGGCAGAGGAGAAGTTGACGCATGGTGATTCAGCGGCGGCGTCTTATCTGCTTCCCTTGATTTGGTGATGCTCCTCCTTTTGTTGTGGTGTTCTCCGAGCCTTGTGCGTCCCTTCTTCCCACAACGAGGTTTGCTTGCCAGTATCCTTTCCCCATGTCTTCATTTCGCTGCAATTTCTGTAGGATTTTGCTAGATCTGGCTTAAAGGTGTGCTTGTTCCCGTGTGTAGTGGTGGATCCTAGCTCTTTTAGGTTGTTTGTGGTGGTTCCTAGATGTCAGATTTTTGTTGCAGATGGAGCAACATCTAGTAGATGTAGATGCAGCAACGCCTGATTCGATGTAGTTGTAGGGGTGGTTCCCTTATGACTATTTCTTATTTATGCTCCTGAATGTTTCTGTAGTTGTTCATGTGCCCCTATATGTGTATAACCCCTAGATGTGTGGATGTAAATGTTGAATCTAGCTCGTAGATGTTTGCATTGTATGTGTGTATGATGCCAGTTGTTTTTGTCAGTGAGTTGGGCTGTAACTTTGAGCGAATTCGGAGTGATTGGGACTGAATTTTACCAGTTAAGCGTCAGTGATTTTGGACTGTAGTTTCAGGTTTTACCAGTCCATCTTACTCAGTAATTTTCGAGTGCTTTTGTGTCTGTCTTTGCAACTTCAGTGATGTGTAAGTTTTAGTGATCTACTCTGTAATATTTGAGTGCTTTTGTCTTTGACTTTGTAACTTCAGTAATGTGTAAGTTTGAGTGATCTACTCTAAATTTTCCACTCGTTTCCAGCACCTATTACACTCAGTATCAGTGTAACTACAGTCTGAATTGTATTGTGAATTAACTCTGGACTGCAAGTTCGTATGTCCCTTTTTATCCTTTGCTAGCTTTTGTAGATGTACATCCCTTCGTTGTTTTGGATGCAAATGCTGAGTCACCTGGTCACTTGTCTCATGTTGATGTTTTTTGGTGGACAAATTTCTAGTTTAATGTGTGATTCTCGTTGGTGGACTGAATTTTTTCCAGTTAAGTTAAAGTGGTTAGGGATTGTAAATTTGAGTAATGTGTCCCTTCTAGTGTCAGATTTATTCCCCTTTCATATGTTGTGTGTGGTGATTTCCCTCAGCTGTGTTGAATCTCGTATGTCGTGTGACCTAGATTGTCTGGTTGAATTCGGCTAGTTGTCATGCGCTTGGACGTGTTGTTTGTTTCAGTTCATATCCCTGTCCATGTCCATGACCCTATCCATGTCTCTGTCGGATGGGATGTTGTTTGTTTCAGTTCAGAACCATTTGCTTTGCTTGTGCGACTTGTTTCCTCGCTAAGCATCATCTACCTAGCAAGCAAACTAGTCTACTGTTTCCCCCCTATTCCTTCTCCAATCTAATATAATCTGATGCACATTGGGATTGGGATTGGGTGGTGATTTCCTTCAGTCTATCACCTACCTTCTGCTCTACTCTTTCTGTATTGTTTCTAGCATATATATATATATATATATATATATATATATATATATGTGTGGTGATGAATTAGAAGTATTCGGTATGTATTGTCGGCTTTGGTTTGATCCTCAAGTCTAATTTGCTACCGTGTAGGGATTTATCAGTCGGATCTGTTGCTTATCCCCTTTTGGATGTCGCATGTGGTAATCCCCCGCAGCTATTTTGATGCAGATGTGTTGTTGCATTTGTTAGTGGTATTGAATCTCATCTGTCTTGTGTGCTAGGTTAGGGATTGTCTTGTAGGTTTTATTTGACCTGTTTCGGTCAGTAGTTGGAATTCGAATGTTTGTCATGGGCAGTTGCTAATTTCGTACATGCTGGATCGTGTTTCAGTGACTTTAGTGCCCTGGTCGCCTTGGATTCTCTAGTGTTTTTGTTTGTGGCTGTAGGTTATATAACCCCTGGGTCGTTTGTCGATGTAGGTTTATATGTAGTGTTCTTTGTGATTTTGCTTGTATAGCTAGTCAACCAGCTTAGGTTGTCGTACCTAGTGCGTTCTGCTAGCAAATTTCAGCTCTGTTCTTTGTGTTTCTGTGAAACAGAATGTCCTTTTCATTTTCAGCTATGTAAATGTTTGATTGCTCTACTTGAAATCCCTGTTTTCTTAGTGGATTTGTAGTGTGTTTTCTGAGTGTTTTACACTGTAATTCTTAGTGGATTTACAGTGTAATTCCTTAGCGGATTTACACTGTAATTTTAGGTGGATTTACACTGTATTTTTTTACTGGATTTACACTGTAACTTTCAGTGAATTTACACTGTATTTTTAGTGGATTTATATTGTAATTTGCAATGGATCTACACTGTAATTCTCAGTGAATTTACTCTGTAGTTTTCAGTTGATCTTTCGTTGTAATCATATAAGAATTACACTGTATCTCTTGATTTTACAGTGTAATTCTTAGTTGAGTTACACTGTAATCCTTAGTGTATCTTAGTGTTTTTGTAGTGACTATTAGTTATTCTTGGATTTTCCTTGTATTACACTGTAACTCTTGATTTTACGGTGTAATTTTCATTGTATTTACACTGTAATTCTTAGTGTATTTTGGCTAGGGTCTGTTAGCTGGTTTTTACCCTTGTAATCTGCATTTGACTAGGGACTATTATGTGGATTATTTTTGTATTATCTTTAGTGGATCTTATAGTGTAATTCTTATTGGATTTACAGTGTAACTCTCAGTGGGCTTACACTGTAATTTTTCAGTTGATTCTACCCTTAGTGAATTTGACTAAGACTGTTAGTTGGTTTTTACCCTTGTACTCTGCAATTGAGTAGGGTCTATTATGTGAATTTTTAGGTCTGAACATTTTCAGGTAGCCAATCTCTATCTTGTTTGTAATTTACTTTCATGCATTTGGTTGTTTCTTTATTTTATTTTTTTTACCGTGATGTCATTTTGGTTTTGCTGTGTAGGTTGCAAGTCTCTTGCTCTTGACTCTACAAAGAAAGCATCAAATGATTCGTCAGTTGGTAAATCTGCTGGTAATATTTTGTCAAACGAGGGTACAAAGGATGGTCCAAATTTGGTTTCTTGTGTGTTCCATGTAGTATCAGTGCTTAATTTTTTTCTTTAGTTTCAGTGCGATCTTCATAGTAATTACATTTAAAAGATCATAGTAATTCTAAGTTCAAGCGACAGTAATTTGCCCTTTTATAAAGTTCCAAAGTTTCAAATATTCAATCATAGTTTCATTTTGGTTTCTGAGCAGGAACATATTGGTTTCTCTATATAATACACTGTATTTAACACTGTAGTTCCAGTGGTCCAGCACTGGAACTACAGTTTGCTTACACTGTAATTCCAGTGGTCTAGCGATGTATTTCAAACTGTAATTACAAAGGATTTTTCACCGTGGTCCACTACTGTAATTTCTATTGCTATCCACTGAAATTTTAGTGGTCTAGTACTGTAATTACAGTTTGTCTGCCACTGTAAATTCCTTATCTGCCAGTGTAATTTAGTTTCATATGTTATTTTTCTGTTCCTCTGTAACCATAGTGTAAAAACACTTGTTAGATTTTGATTTTGTGTAGGATTTACTCATTTGTATATGTTCTTATTGCTTTTTCTGGTGATCTCTGGATTTTGAGTTTATAACTAGAGTGCTATGTGGATTCTGATCTGCTCTTTCGCTTTGGTAGCAACCTGTTGCTACTCAAAGTAGAACAATATTTTTTGCATTAGCTAATGAAAGTTTTTGGAGAATTTCTTTCCCTGCTGTTTTATATGTAAATTTGACAATGATAGTACCTTGAACAACTGCTTATTTTTGCTTATTTTTTGTGTTCTTTGTAACTTTTCAGGCATGATTGTGGTTTTCTCCAATGTAGACATTCGAAATCTTAGGATCAAATATGTGAATGACATGTTTTTCAGCCCCTTGAACAGCTGCGACAAATCTTTTGTCACTGCTTTCTTTGTATGTTCTTATTTTCCTTGTCCTCTATTTCATTTTCTTTTTCTCCTTATTAGCTTTTACTTTCTTTACCTATTTTGGTCTCTTTGAGTTTTTTTGTGTAGGGAGGCAATGCCAAGTGAGGTTCAGCATGTGCACAGTCCTAGCTCAGTTGGTGGATGAGTTCTCTTTTTGAGTAGCATGTAACATAGAACCACTAGTGCAAATCATTTGGATCATTGGTGGATTTACAAGGTCTTTTTAGTGGATTTAAAGTGGCATCTTTAATGCATCTTGCACTGTAATTCTTAGTGGTTAATCTTAGCAGTTTTTTCAGTGCAAACCATTTGGATTGTTGGTAGATTTACAGTGTCATTTTAGTGGATTTTACAGTGTCATTTTAATGCATCTTACACTGTAATTCTTAGCGGGCATGATAAAAATTATTGTCGATTTTAGTGGATTTTACACCAAATTTCTTGGTGGTAATATTATTGTAATTATACTTCTTTGTCAATGTAAATTTTAGGTGACATCATCTTGGTCCTTTCCTCATCCCTTTGTTTCTTTAGCTTAGCGTACATGGAAAAACTTTGGCTGTATCGATGTATCGTTGTGGTTTTTTGATCTCCACTTTTTAGCTGCTCTTCTGTCCCGGTTGAAGAGGTTGGGGTGTAGACCCGTTAGTCTGTTTAAAAGCGGGACAGAAAAGCAAACAAAGACACGGGACAGGAGACACTTGTCATTCTTTGGTTGGCTAAAAAATATGGATGAAAGCTAATTGGATTTCATCCGGATGTAGGATAGACAGTCCCTAAAATTGTAATGACGGCGAACCAATCGATAGACTTACCACGAAATCGTAGTGACGTTGACCATGACGTCTACTCAGTCCGTCGTCTTCCTATGAAATTGGTCAGTTCCCGTCAGGCCCAGTAAAATTTTTGTGCCCTCCATACATAAGGGAATCTTGGTACGGAAGCAGGTAGAAAGAACTTACGAAGAGACTATAGGGGCGGCGGGCACTCGACGACGGCGATCCTTGAGCTGCGACGATGAACGCTGCAACCACCACGCCGACTGACCAAATCGCCGGTGCCTTGGTGACGCCCATCGCCGGTGACCGAACAGAGCCGACAGGCAGAACGGCTTGACAAGTTTGAAATCTAATCTACGCGCAGCTTTGGTCCTTGCGCATCCGTGTGGGTGTGGCAGGTTTGAAGCATGTGCGAATTCCTTGGCCCTTTGCTACTTATAGAAAGGAGTTAAACGCCAGTGGTGAACACGAAGAGGAGTGATTCCAATTCTTCTTCTTCTTTTTTGGTAAGTCTATGCACTGTTCTTTCGCCAGCACCCTATTTTTCAAGCTTTTGGATGGAATTAATTGCATGGAAACAGTAAGTGGATCCAGCTGGAAGACGCGCACAGGTTTGTTTGTGGTAGTATTAATTAACGCGAGATCACATTTGATCTCGGGTGTTTTCCTTTTCTTCTTTGTAAGCCCATTAATTCGACAATAATATTTGGTATCTTTCTAATAAAATTGTATTTGTGTGTATCCAAGGATAAAAGGGAGGCTTGCTCTTCTTCTTCTTTTTTCTTGAAGAGTGTACAATGCATTCATATTTTTTGAACAAACGGACTGATATTATTGTTACTACGGGGAAGTAGCAAATTTTGATTGATTAATCCATAAATAAATCGTACGCATGGCATTAACAATATGAATCTCATACCACAATCTAAGCATGTGAACACGTACTAAGCACAGAACTGAAACGGTAAATAAGGGATGAACAAACCATATCTTCCTGTAGGCCAGGACAAGGTGGCAGCGGTTTCCTAGGAGCCTTCTTCTTGGTAGCATCGTCAACCCCATAACGTTGGTGTCAAGGAAGTAATCGAAGCAGAGGACAAATACGAAAGCGAACAACGAGTAGTGAGGAGGTGCTTCCCAAAAAACTTATCGTCCTTCTCTCGGTGCAGGATCCCAAGGTGCTCAACGAATGCATGGCTTTTATGGGCTCAGGTGGCTTGAGTTAATCTAAATCAAGAGGAGGTGGACTCTATTTCATGGGCCTGGGAGGTGAATAGAGATTTCTCGGCAAGGTCGGCATACAATGCAAAGTTCATGGGACGAGAGGTTACGCCCACGACGGCGTTTATGTGGAAGTCTAGGGCCCCGATACGATGCAAATTCTTTGCATGGCTCGCGCTTCAATACCGGTGATGGACCTCGGACAGGCTTGCCCGACGTGGGCTGGACCACCAGCAAACTTGCCCTTTTTGTGCTCAACATGAGGAGACCATCGACCACATCCTTATGGATTGTGTCTTTGCGAGGGAGGTTTGGTGTATCGTCTGCTTAGCAATGGGCAAGCCAGTTTGGGTGCCACAGCCGGGATCAAGCTTAGCGGAGTGGTGCACCACCATATGTGGAAATGGCTTATGTGTGAAGGATGATTAGGCGATCTTCCTTCTCGTAGTGTGGGAGTTATGGAAGCATGGGAGTGCGATTGTGCTCGACAGTGCCTCTCCCTCAATGCATATTTAGCATAGTTTTTCTTGTAATGGCGTAGTTGGTCCTCAAGGGAGAAGGAGGGACATACATGGAACAGAGCTGGAATCCTCAAGGGAGAAGTGAAGCCTCTCTTTAGAGTGCTAGTGAGGTGGGAAAACGAGAGGAGTTACATAATTTTTCTTGTAATGGCGTAGTTGGTCCTCATGTAACTTGTAACATGTACTAGCCAACGTGGAGGGGTTCTTTTCCCATTCTCTGCTTCAATATATAGTACGCACATTCATGCATATTTGAGAAAAAGGATCACAAAGGACAGGGTTTCGAAAGCCTGCTCTCCCAAACGGTCTTGCATGTGGTCGACGGGGTAAGATTGCCAGACGCAACAACACTGCGTGGAACAACAATGGCAGGTAAGCTTGTGTGCAAGGATAGTGTGTCGGCTAGGGTCGACGTCCATCTGATGAACGAGAAGACCATGCGAAACAGCCAACGAGAGTAAAACTCGAATGGGACCAGTCAGGCCACAGTTGAGCAGGTATCCAAGAAATCTTCGTCATCTTTATGGGTATAACCAATGGCCACTAGTTTAGCCTTGTACTTTTCAACTGGGCCCCTCGGTTCTTTATTTGTTTACATGAACTACTTTCAAAAAGAAGAAAAAATAAATATGCAAATTTTCTCCCTATGAAATATATTCGCAAATTAAGTGAATGTTCACAATTTTTATAAATATTACCAAAAATTATAAAATGTCCGCGAATAAAAAATATTCCTGGAATTTCAGAAAAAAAACGGATTTAAGAGATTTTTTTCATAAATTTTAAGAAAGCTCTTTGTGTTTTTAAATCTGATTTTTGAAAATGATGTAACTTCAAACAAAGTTCGAAAAATTACTTTTTTCTAAATCTGTAGAAAATCTCGAAATTAAGTACATACAAAATTATAAAATCCTCTCATGTTTTTATAAATATTAAAGAGTTAAAAGGTTCACGAATTTGGAAAACATTTCTTGAATTTCAAAAAAATACTCAAGAACCCTAGAAAATGTTTATGATATTAAAATATTCATAAAATAAAAAATAAAAATAAACGGGAAAGGTGAAAAGAATAAGGTAAAAGCTTATCATCATCCGGCAGATCGTAGTTGCCGCGTCCGTCACCTCCGTTGCATGACACGTGTCTTGCATGCCGTTCTTTATTGAACGCGCTTCCGAAACAAAGACTATGTTTCAGAAATATATGTAGTGTTGCAATGACTTAACGGGTCTAGTTTCGCAACAAAACCTCTATTGCGGAAATTTTCTGCAACAAGACCTCATTTGCAGAAAAAGTTGCAACAAAACCGTAGTTGTAAATTTTTTTTTACAACAAAACGAACCGTTGCAAAAAATTCTGCAACAAGACCTATGTTGCAGAAATAATTCTGCAATAAGATATGTCTTGTAGTACTGGAGACGCGCTCAACTCACTTGATGCGGCAAATCCGACGGCCCGCGAGCCGGCTGATGTTTTAAAGATATCAGCCGGCGGACGCGTAGCATTCCCCAAAGAATAAAGAGTTAAATACGTTGAAGGTGCCTCAACTTGTCTTGCCCGATCAGTTTAGTGCCTAAAGTTGTAAAATACACGAACCTGGTGCTTGAACTTGTCCGGCTATGCAAATACAGTGCCTTCATTCGTATCCAGACTACGTTCAGCCTGTGTGGCGTGCCCACGTACCAGTGGCCCACGCAGACGTGATATTTTTTTTACAAAACCCCTTCATATTTTATTTAATCACATATGAAAGCCTCACAAATTTACAGATTGTGTTGCACGCATAGGCTGTCCACCAGGCTATACTATGGTTAGTATATATAGACTAGGTCAAACTTTATATATTGTGTTGCAATGCAAAATGTAATTTTGAAGCACCGGCACATTGTGCTCTTTTTTTCAAAAGTCAAATAAACGGATTTCTACAGCTAAAAAACTCCGGACATTTTTTGTACATGCACACATAGAAGTGCAATATATCCATGTGATTTTTTTTGTCAAAATCTGTATTTGTTTGTGAGAGATACCAAAAAGGTAAAATAAATGCAAAAATCAGCTTTTTGCCTGATTTGTTTTCTTTTTTTTGCAGCGTATATAATATAACAAAATTTCAAAAAAAACTTGAAAGTCACTTAGCAGATGCATACATTTTTTGTGAATTTTTTTAAGTTTTTATGAAACTTTGAAGTGCTAGTTTTAAAAAAATAAGAAAAAACATGCTCAGTGGCCACCGTGCTCCAAAATTCTGCTTTGGTTGCGATGTACCTCTTAAAAAATTCAAGTTCTTTTTTTAATTTTCATATTATTTTTACCATTTTAAAAGAAAATTATATGAACAAAATACAACTGCCATAAACTTCAAGAAAGTGTTAGTGCATTTGAAAAATGTCAACATGTTTTTGGAAAATGTTTCACATGTATTATAAAATTATAACGCATTTTTGAAAAATGTTTGTCATGCGTTAAAAAAGTTTACAACATGTATTTTTAAAGGAGTTCAACGTGTGTGAAAAAGTTATTGTGTAAATTATCCTTACGTTTATACAAACTTAGTTGACATTTTTTATTCTTAAATTTAGACAATAATTCCTAATATAGGTTAAAATATTTAAATCCACATAAATTAAGTCCATGTCTCCCTCTTTGAAGTATAATAATAAAAATGAAAAAATATTTAAAATATAAAATAATAGCATTGTGACGCCCCTGATTCAATCATACACTAATCATACACGCAAACGTGTACAATCAAGATCAGAGACTCACGGGAAGATATCACAACACAACTCTACAAATAAAATAAGTCATACAAGCATCATGTTACAAGCCAAGGGCCTCGAGGGCTTGAATACAAGAGCTCGATCATAGACGAGTCAGCGGAAGCAACAATATCTGAGTACAGACATAAGTTAAACAACTTGCCTTAAGAAGGCTAGCACCAACTGGGATACAGATCGAAAGAGGCGCAGGCCTCCTGCCTGGGATCCTCCTAAACTACTCCTGGTCGTTGTCAGTGGGCTGCACGTAGTAGTAGGCACCTCCCGAGTAGTAGTAGTCATCATCAACAGTGGCGTCTGGCTCCTGGACTCCATTGTCTGGACGCAGCAATCGGGTATAGGAAGGGGGAAAAGGGGGAGCAAAGCAACCGTGAGTACTCATCCAAAGTAATCGCAAGCAAGGAGCTACACTACATATGTATGCATTGGTATCAAATGCAATAAGGGTATCATATGTGGACGGAACTGCAGAATGCAGAAATAAGAGAGGGATAGCTAGTCATGTCGAAGACTACGCTTCTGGCCACCTCCATCTTGTAGCATGTAGAAGAGAGTAGATGGTAAGTTCACCAAGTAGCATCGCATAGCATAATCCTAACCGATGATCCTCTCCTCGTCGCCCTGTGAGAGAGCGACCACCGGTTGTATCTGGCACTTGGAAGGGTGCGTTTTATTAAGTATCCGGTTCTAGTTGTCATAAGGTCAAGGTACAACTCCAAGTTGTCCTGTTACCGAAGATCATGGATATTCGAATAGATTAACTTCCCTGCAGGGGTGCCC